GTGGCCCAGTGGTTAAAACTCGGTGCTTTCACTGCCGAGGGCTGGTGTTAGATCCCTGGTCAGGGAGCTAAGATCCCACAAACCGCGTGGCAAAACCAAACCAAAACAAAACAAAACCCAAATTACATCTTTGGACCCACACCTGGGTTTCCAGAACTGCAAATGCTGAATCCAAGGCATGGGCAATTTTTACTTTAACAGATATTGACAAAACTTGTACCAATTTACATTCCTCATCTACAGAGCATGAGAGTATCTACTTCTCTAGACTCCCATCTGCATAGTTATATGGAACTTTTTTATTTTTGCCAACCTGAAAGGCAGTTCATTGCATCCTCAAAGGATCTGAAGGCTTGTCTTTTTCTCGTGGTTTTTAAAATGCAAGTGCTTATGTTTCTTCGTGCTCAGGGATGTTGAGTCACAAAGATTGCAAACTCAACAAGGTAAATCTCAGTCGAGATGCTCACCTCCACCCTTGTATCCCATGTCTCAGAGGATGCTATAATGGTTTCAAGTGGTTCTGTGGGTGGATTGTTTAAAGACGTGTGTCCATGTAGGAACAGGGAGAGGGATATTCCGGAGAAAAAAGCAGACTGTGCCTTCTTTGTATTTACTAGCTCTGACAGCATTCCTAAGTGAGTCTGTTGTTTCCACTGTAATGGAGGGGACAGTTGGCAGGACTTTCCTGCTGTGAGGATGGCGAGACTGAAGCCCAGTGAGGGAGGGAAGGGGCTGGGGCAGAGTTTACCACCCACCAGCTGCTTGACTGTAGCTATGTCATGCCTCCTTTTTTAAAAAAAATATTTATTTATTTTTTATTTATTTAGCTGTGCTGGGTCTTAGTTGTGTCATGCATGCGGGATCTAGTTCCCTGACCGGGGATCGAACCCAGGCACCCTGCATTGGGAGCACGGAGTCTTAACCACGGAACCACCAGGGAAGTCCCCTGTCATGCCTCTTAAGTCTTTCCACTTTTCTTCCTCCCCTGGGCATCACCCCCATCCAAGCCACCATCTTCGCTGGCCTGGGTCCCTGCCCCTGCCTCCTCTCTGGTCCTCTTGCCTCTAGTCTTACCTCCTCACAGCAGCCAGAGGGATCTTTCTAAAGAGAAACTCTCATCTAGTCCGTCCTCAGCTCCAAGACCATCCATGGCTCCCCATTACCCCAGGATAAAATACATATCCTTTAACATGGCATCTGTGGCTCCTCCAACCTCGTCTTGGCTACCTGCCAGCCACACTGATGTTCGTTCATTTTTCTGGTGTGTGGACACTCCTCCCTGTTACCTCGTGGCCTTTTGCCTTGAATGCATGCCCCTCACTCCCAATACACTTGAGATCTGGTAGCCTCTCAGAGAGGGTTCTGGAGTTGGACTCTCAGAAGTTCTCTCCTACCTCTGCCACTTGCTAACTGCGAGGGCTAGGAAAGGTCTCTTAAGCTCTCTGTAGCCTCAGTTTTCTCATCTGTAAAATGGGTGTTGCAATGGCAACAATGCTCATAGGGTTGTCCTGTGGATTAAATGAGATGATACATGGGACTTCCCTGGCGGTCCAGTGGTTAAGGCTCCACGCTTCCACTGCAAGGTGCGCAGGTTCGATTCCTAGTTGGGGAACTAAGAACCCGCATGCCACATGGCCTAAATAAATAAATAAATAAGCGAACTGATATGTGAAAAGGACTTAGAACAGAGCTTGGCAATTCTGAGTTCTTTTCTCGTAAGCATCTTCTTCACCCTGTTCTCCTCCTATTCATTCATGACTCCTCACTGCCACCACCCTAGTGCAAGCCACCGTCATCCCTCACTGCAGCTAGACAATCCCAACCTCCTCTTCTTAGCTTCTGATCAGGAGCCATTTCTCCACACAACAGACAAGGGCTCTTGAAATGAGCCTGTGAACTTAGGAACAATAAGAGTACCCTGCCCTTGAGGTTGGTGTGGCATAAATACTGTGCTTAGGGAATTGACGAACTAACACCTGGGAAGCACGGAGAACAGCGCCCGGCACATAGGAATCACTTAGGAGCCCCAGACCTGTGCTGTCCAAGACGGTAGTCACCAGCCACATGTGGCTGGTCATTTAATTAAAATGACAGAAAAGTAAAAGTTCAGTTCCCAGACACATCTGCCACATTTCATGCACTCAACAGCCACAGGTGACTGGTGGCTACCATCTTGGAAGGTGCACATCTGGAATATTTCCATCAGTACGGAAAATTCTGTTGAACGGTGCTGTGGTTTTATTTCACCAAGACCCTTCTCCTGGTCCCACACCAGGCTGGATTCTCTATTGAACACACTCAGTTACCATCCCTGGGGATTAATTTCTCTCTCCCAGTAGACCATAACCTCTCCAAGGGCAGGTGCCAGGTATGTCAGGAACAAATCCCCTAGCCTGTTAATATTTGTGCAAGGAAGAAATATTATTAGAATCTTTCCTAGACTCCTAGAATGGTAGAACCATGAATTCTTTTGTATAGTCTATATAACATCCATTTTGGGGGGAAAGGACGGTGCATTCACTGGTACGGCTCTACATATAAGAAGAACAAAAGCATATACGGTAAAATCTTCCTTCCAATGCTTGCCTCCAACCCACTACTTCCCCTCCCCAGGGGGAACCACTGTTACAGATTTCCTCTGTCTGCTTCTGGAACTAGTCTGTACATACACAAGCAAACACACACACACACACACACACATACACACACGGAGAGATAGAACATAGAGACAGAGGGGAAGGAGCAGGGGGGAAGGAAGGGAGAGAGAGAGAAAAACTGAGAGAGTGAGAGAGAGAGAGAGATTCCTCTTTTGTAGGTAGTGTGCTTCACACACTGTTCAGTTCTTACTTTTTCTATTTCACCATAGATCTTGGAGCTCTTTCCACACACATCCTTACGTAACTTCCTCATTCTTTCGGCGGTTGCATAGTACTATTTTGCCTGGATTTGCCGTCATTCATTTAGTCAGTCCCCTCTTGCTGGATGCTTCAGCTATTTCTAGTCTTTGTAATTATGCTGCAATGGCAAACCTTTGCAAGCCTTTTTTATCCGGAGCATCCTAGAAATCACAAAGGGTTAGAGTTAGCATCTTTTTTCTGCACTCGTGAAGTCAGTGAGAGGAAGGGGCCTCGTGAGTTCATTCCAGAAAAGGAACTTTGTCAGCTGATGAGAGGGGTAACGGTGAGCGTGAGAGCAGGGGGTGGGGAGGCTCCCCTTTTTGAGGTCTGGCTTATTCTGCAGCTAAGCATGGCCGAGAGCTTGTGAAACGAGCAGGGACAAAAGTTAGCTTCATGTATCATGTCTGAGGTGGACATTTAAAATATTTAACATCGTGCTAAGGGGCAGAGCCCCCCCTGAGCAGGGTCTGGGGCCTCTTACCATGCCCGGCATTAACCCTTTAGTGATCCGAGCATGGGAACTGGGGGTGGGGGTCCCAAAGTAGAAAAATGGGAGGCCAGGGTTCTGGGAGTGGGGATGGTACAGGTGGGTGGCTCAGGGCAGGGGCTCGTTACCAATGGAAACAATTCAACAATGTAAACTTTTTTGAAACATTTTCACACTTATAGAAAAATTACAAGAATAATACAAAGAACTTCCATATACTCTTTATCCAGATTCTCCAAGTTTGCTTTGTCTATCTATCATCTATCATCTATCTATCTATCTATCTATCTATCTATCTATCTATCTATCATCTACTGTCTTTTTTTCCTGAACCAGTTGAGAGTAAGTTGCAGGCATCATGTCCTTTGCCCCCCCAATGTCTCGGTGTCTCCTTCTCAAGAACAAGGACATTCATTTACACGAGCACAGCACAATGATCAATGTCAGGAAATTTACTGTTTGGTGAGATACTATTATCTATATGCAAATGGTGCAATACTAGATCATATTCAAACTTGCTCAATTGTCCAAATAATGCCCTTTAGAGTGAATTTGTTTTTCCTGCTCCAGACTCTGGTCCAGGATGTCACATGACATTGGGTTGTCCTGGCTCTTTCTTCCCCATTCATTTCTTGTCTTTATGACACTGGTATTTTAATTTTAATTGAGTATAATTCACGTAACATACAATTCACCATTTTATTTATTTGTTTATATTAATTTTTACTGGAGTATGGTTGCTTTGCAATGTTGTGTTAGCCTCTACTGCACAACGAAATGAATCAGCCATACACACTAATTCACCATTTTAAAGTGTACCATTCAGTGACATTTAGTACATTCAAGATGTTGTCCCATCACTGTCTTTATCTATTTCCAGAACCTTTTAACCACCCTCAAAAGAAACCCCGTACCCATTAAGCACTCCCTCCCTGATTCCCTTTCCCCAGTCCCTGGCAATGACTAGCACGTTCCCCATCTCTATGGATTTGCCCATTCCGGACACCTCATGTAAATGGAAGCATACGATATGTGACCTTTTGTGTCTGACTTCTTCCACTCAGCATAATGTTTACAAGCTTCATCCACGTTGTAGCTTGCATCAATACTTCATCCCTTTTTATGGCTAAATAATATTCCACGGCATGGGCATAGCATACCCTGTTCATCCACACATCAGCTGACACTGACATTTTCCCTCTGAATAATTTAATCACTGCTATGGCTCTACCAGCAAGTACCCTGGACCATCAGCCCGATCGACCCAGTTGACCTTAGGGTAACATAAAGGAACTAGAAATAAAAAACAGTTGTTCAGAGAAAGATCTGAGTTCTTCAGTAATTGTAAGGTCCATAAATAATAAGAGCATTGCCATTTCTCGTCTCCCTATAGTGTACCAGGCATTTTGCCAGGTGCTTAAACATTTTTCATCTTATTTAATCCACGAGCTGGGTGTTTAGTGGGTATCAACCTCAGCCTGCAAATTTAGGTGCCCTAAAAATCCAGCTCTTATTATTATTTTTTATTTATTTATCTTTTTTGCGGTACGCAGGCCTCTCACTGTTGTGGCTTCTCCCGTTGCGGAGCACAGGCTCCGGATGCGCAGGCTCAGCGGCCATGGCTCACAGGCCCAGCCGCTCCGCGGCATGTGGGATCTTCCCGGACCGGGACACGAACCCGTGTCCCCTGCATCGGCAAGCAGACGCTCAACCACTGCGCCACCAGGGAAACCCTATCCGGTCCATCTTTAAATCTCCCAGGTTGTCTCTAAAGTATCTTCTTTCCCATATGATTATTCCAATTGGATCCAACCAAGGTCTCCATTTTGCCTTTGCTTGATATGCTTCTTAAACCTCTTTTAATCCATGACACTTCCCATTCCTTCCCCTGCCCCCTTCTTTTAATCTTTTGGCCGCGCTGCACGACATGTAGGATCTTAGTTCCCCAACCAGGGATTGAACCTGTGCTCCCTGCATTGGCAGCGCTGAGTCTTAGCCACTGGACCGCCGGGGAAGTCCCTCCCCTTCCGTTTTAAAAACGCCATTTATTTGTGAGAGTAACAAGACCATTTGTCCTGTAGCGTTTCCTGAATTCCGATGGGACTGATTTTGTCCCTGTGGTGTGAGTTATCGTGTTCCTCTTTCCTCTGCTTTTCCTGTAAACTGGTAGTTTTAGATCTAGAATCTTGATTAGATTGACCTTCTTTTTTTTTTTTTTTTTGCAAAAATTACTTCATAGGTGGTGCCGTATCCTTTCTACTGCATCACATCAGATAGAGCAAATGTCTACTTGTCTGTCTTCTCAAGGTGCTGAGGCTGAATGGAGGGTTTGCGGTGCCAGCTCAACCTATTTATTATAAAGTTCCTGTCTGTTTTTCACCTGGTGGTTTTATTAGGTGTTGTTGATTGTCATCCAGATCCATGTTTCCTTAAGTCTATCATTCCTTCTGCAAGTATTATTTTTAGATTCTTCTCTAAAGAAGGCCCTCCCACATTGACTCTTTATTTCCCTGAAATATACTCTGTACAGAAATGGCAGGATAAGTGCTTGATTCATTCCCTTTCCAGAATAAAAATATGACCAATGGGTTTATTTGCTTTTATTACCATTATGAACTCGTAGATCTTTATTATTAATGTATTTTATTGCATCACAGTTATTATTTATTATTATTGTTATTATTATATACTCAAATTGTGCCATCTTTTGACTAGTGGGAGCTTTTTCAGGCTGTCTCTTTGATATGTCCCTCTCATGATTTAACATTTTTTCTTACTTTCTAGTGTGAGATGTTCTGGGCTCATCTTGTATATTTTCTGTCCCAGAACAGGAATCAGCCTTTCTCCAAGGAGCCCTGGTTCCTTTGAATGCCAGGTGGTAATTAAAGACCATAATCTGTGCACTAAGGTACCCTTTGTTCTTGAACTCATATCCTTCTCTATTCCTTTCATCCCTTCTGCCCTGCCTCTAGCAAGCTACATGTCTATTTCTTATTCTTATTTCTTCTTCTTCCTCTTGCTGCCCCTAAATATTTTCTCTCTGCTCTGAGACTGAGGTTTTGGAATAACGATAGCTAAAACTGAAGGACTGCTCTAGGAGTTAACCGGGAATGAAATGGAGGCATGAAACAGTAATGGACCTTGCAGAGGGCCACGTAGGCTTCAAGTAGGACAGTCGGGGTTTGGATCCTAGTGTCGTGCTGAGCCACCCTGGTACCCAGGGCCATTGTCAACCTGCAAAACCCCGCCCAGCTGAGAATGAAAACTGTGGGCTGATCTGCAGGTTCCTCTTGCATAATAATGCAGGGCCATAAAACAGACAACTGCAGCAGCTTGCCTTCATTTAAAATTAGAATTTCTTTCCACTGTGGTTTTTTTCTGGGGGTGGGGGGTGGGGTGCATTCATCTTGATTCTTTAAAATATTTCGTTAAGATATTGTACATCTTCACTTTGCTGTACCCCTGAAACTAACACAACATTGTTAAATCACCTATACTCCAATGAAAATTTGAAAAATAAGTAAATGAAAAAGAAAATTTAGGGAATAGCTCAGGACTTGGGCTATTAGTTTTGGATTTATGTTCGTATGATTATTAGCTTATCCTCCTGTAAGTATTAAAGTGCAGAATTAACTTTAAAAAAAGATATTATGTATCTTGATGACTGATGCTCCCTGTCTACCCCTGATGCCTGAGTACATGAGGCCCTGTTGAAACACTGCTGACTCTGGGTAGCTGCTCCCAGGCAGAGCGCAGAGCTGCCTCAGTGGGTGGGAGGCAGCAAAAGGGGGTGATACTGCTGGTGGTGGTGTTGGTGGGGGAACTACCTGCTCAGTAATATCATCTCAGTGTGTTGGTGACATTAAAGATGTCTAACAAGCAGTGTGTCATGGGTACTGGCCAGAGTGGATAGTGACCACAGTATTGTAGCAGGCCTAGGCTTTAACCATTCGGTTGCTAGACTCTGGGGAAGTCCAGGGACTTCAGGGGGAGGTGGCAGGGTGGCACGGAGACCCATTAACATGGAAGGGTTTTCAGCATTTTAATAAGTGGTATGACACCCCAGCTGGCTCTCAGCCCCCAGCATCCCCATTTCCCCGGGAGAAACCTAAGACTTAAAGAAGTGGAGTGATGGGCTTTGAGTAGCTCTGATGGGCCCCCCTGCCACCTGTCTGCAGACTTATACCATCCCTGCTTCTCTGATTCCACCCAGGACTCCATGACTAATAGCACCCCTGATTACTACGATTATAGCAACTGGACCAGTGACCCCAACATATTGGTGGATGACTCTTCCCAAAGTCACAGGCTGCATATTCCAGATGTGATCGCCCTGGTAATCTTTGCAGTCGTCTTCCTGGTGGGAGTGCCAGGCAACGCCCTGGTGGTCTGTGTGACGGGGTCCGAGGTTAAGCGAACCATCAATGCCATCTGGTTTTTCAACCTGGCGGTGGCTGACCTCCTCTCCTGTCTGGCGCTGCCTGTCTTGTTTGCATCCATTGTCCTGCACAACCAGTGGCCCTTCGGTGATGCTGCCTGTGGAATTCTGCCTTGTCTTATCCTGCTCAACATGTATGCCAGCATCCTGCTTCTGGCCACCATCAGCGCCGACCGCTTCCTGCTGGTGTTTAATCCCATCTGGTGCCAGAACTATCGAGGGGCCCGCATGGCCTGGGCGGCCTGCGGTGTGGCCTGGGCCTTGGCTCTGCTGCTGACCATACCTTCCTTTTTGTATCGTAAGGTCCACGTGGAACACTTCCCACCCAAGATGACGTGTGTGCTTGACTATGGTAAGGACGGTTTAGGTATAGAGAGGGCCGTGGCCATCATCCGGCTGGTCATGGGCTTCCTGGGGCCGCTGGTCACACTTATAGTCTGTTACACCTTCCTTCTGATCCGGGCTTGGAGCCGCAGTGCCACCCGTTCCACCAAGACTCTCAAGGTGGTGGTGGCAGTGGTGACGAGCTTTTTTGTCTTTTGGCTGCCCTACCAGGTGACAGGGATGATGATGTCTTTTTCCCGCAAGACAAACTTCAAATCCGTGTCCAGTTTGGATGCCCTGTGTGTCTCCGTAGCTTACATCAACTGCTGTATTAACCCCATCATCTACGTGGTCGCTGCCCGGGGCTTTCATACCCGGTTCCTCAAGTCCCTCCCCTCCAGGATCCGGGGTGTGTTGGCCGAAGAGTCCGTGGGCAGGGAGAGCAAGTCCAACACGTTCTCCACAGTGGACACCCCGGCCCTGAAGAGCCAGGAGGTGTAAGGGGAGGCCTCTCTGGCCACCATCTTTCTGGTGCTCCACCAAACTTCTGGTCCATTCACTTTGCTTATTGGATCTTGGCGAGGTGGGTGGTGGTTGAGTGAATTCGCCTCCATTCCTTCCATCGTTCCCAGACTTGTCCTTCCTCTTCCAGGCGAACCCTTCTCATCACTCCTCATTTCCAAGATTAGCACATCCTTCTAGGGACCCCCAACCTTTCTTTCCATCCAAGGACTTTGGAAAACAAACAGCAACCAATGTACCTGGAGTCCTTCCATAGAACAACACGTTCGCGTACAGGGAGTGTGAATACGCTAGACACGTAGGACCCAGACAAACAGAGACACTCAAACCTTGAAAAAAAGAGTTCTATATTTATTTTATGGAGGGTTGGCAAAAAAAAGAAAAATGTAACTGGCATCTCAGAAGTTATTCTTGTTTAGTACAAAGCAAAAGTCCATGGACCTATCTCAGCTTTTAGAATTGAGTTGATTTAAAGAAAAACAGTAAGTTAGTATGTTACTTCACTGGGTTAAAAAAAAAAAGTACTAAATAAAAAGATGTTATATAGTTATGGCAAAAAGCAAGCGGTGAGGAAGACACCTAGGGTTGGGAAACATTGGTTGGGCCCCTCCAGGGAATGGGGTCCCAGGGGAATTTGCTGTCTTACATTGTCAACTGCTGTTCTGTCTGCGCTGAAAAAAAATTAAACATTTTATTTTGACCTCATTTCAATTCTCATGCCGTTGGGTTGTAGGTAGTAAAACGGAGTGACCCTGGGTACCTTTGACCTGTTTCCTGCAATAGGCACATCTTGCAAAATGACATTACGATATCACAACCAAGATGACGTGAATACGGTCGAGGCGCAGGTCGTTTTCATCACTGCCAGGATCCCTCGTGACACCCCTTTCTAGCCACTCTCACTGCCTTCTACCCTCCCCAGCCTTGTCCCGAACCCCTGGCAACCACGAATCCTCTCTCCATCTCTGTGATTTGGTCCTTTCAAGAATGTTATATCAATAGACTCATACGTATATAACACACAAAGCATGTAACCTTTGGACTTTCAAAAAAGCTAGTACACACCGGTTGAAAAATGAGAATAAAAAATAATAAATGTTGAAATATTGTGTTGTTTATAACTGACTTGGAAATATTCCTGCTTAGTGTTTTTTGTGTGTGTCTGTGTGTGTGTCCACATTGGCTAGGAATATTGTACAGACCAACAGAGATATGATGTGAGCCACGTAAGTAGTTTAAAACTTTTTACTAGCCACGTTAAAAATTTAAATGAAAAGGGTGAAATGATAGTAATAATGTTTTGCATTACATTAATAATGTAATGCAATTATGTGTTATAGTAACAACAGTGATAGGAATGCTGTATTAATTATATTATAATAATTTATTATATACTATATGATTATATGTTACATGAATATCTATGTAGTATATAATATTATATAATAATTTTGTTTATAATTATATAATATATAAATATGCAATATAACAAAATATATGACATATATCAATTCTATATTAATGTATATATGTATGAATATGTTATAGTAACATTAGTGCTATCTATATATTTATATATTACTATATAGAGAGATATCTAATATAAATTGATAAAATAATAATATAATCAATAATATATTTTGCTTAACTCAATACGCTGAAAACATTTTAATTTTGACATGTAATCAGTGTGAAAAATTATTATGGGGTCTTTTACATTCTTTTCTTAATTGAAGCATAGTTAATTTACAATGTTATGTTAGTTTCAAGGGAACAGCAAAGGGTTACAGTTATACATATATTTTTTTTCAGATTCTTTTCCATTACAGGTTATTACAAGATATTGAGTATAGTTCCCTCCTGTGCTCTACAGCAGGTCCTTGTTGTTTATCTATTTCATTCATAGTAGTGCGTGTAGGTTAATCCCAAACTCCTAATTTATCTATCCCCTCACCCCGCTATCTCCTCTGGTAACCATAAGTTTGCTTTCTACGTCTGTGAGTATTTCTGTTTTGTAAATAAGTTCATTTGTGTCATTTTTTTTTAGATTCCACATATAAGCGATATCATATGGTATATTCGTCTTTCTCTGACTTACTTCACTTAACATGATCATCTCTAGGTCCATCCATGTTGCTGCAAATGGCATCATTTCATTCTTTTTTATGGCTGAGTAATATTCCATTGTATATATGTACCACAACTTCTTCATCCATTCATCTGTCAGTGGACATTTAGGTGGCTTCCATGTCTTGGCTATTGTCAATAGTGTTGTTATGAACATTGGGGTGCATGTGTCTTTTCTAATTAGAGCTCTCTGTGGATATATGCCCAGGAGTGGGATTGCCGGGTCATATGGTAACCCTATTTTGAGTTTTTTAAAGGAACCTCCATATTGTTCTCCATAGTGGCTGCTATATTTTACTTTTTTTTTTTTTTTTGGTACTGTCTTCAAAATCCTGGGTGTGTTACAGTCACAGCATATCTCTATTCAGACCGGCACATTGCAAGTGCCCAGGGAGCCACACAGAGCTGGTGGTCCCTGAATCCGACGACCACATAGATATCGACTCCCTCCTATTTTCAAGAGCTGGCTGGGTCCAGGGAACAGCCTCCAGCATGGGGCGCTGGGCTGGGATTTTGCCTAATTCCGATGGGAAACATAGCTGAATCCTGCTACTACAGTGTTCTCATGTCTGCCTTGGGGACAACTTTTATTTAAAGATGCTGTCTGAGCATCTAGAGTGACAGGTGCTCTGCAGGACTTCCAGAAGAGGCTGTGTGTGGTTTTTGATAGTAAATGTTGGTACCTGTGCAGACCCTCTAGCAGCAAGATCATTGGGGGAAGACCTGAGCCCCAGCTACTTTCAGATCTGATGCCCTCTGTAAAGATGCTGGCGATCCCTTCTACCTGGTCAGCCCACATCCTTCCTTCCACCCTCCTCCCAGCTGCTTGGGCCTCCTCCCTGGCTGGTTCCAGGCCTGCTGATTATCCTCTCTCTCAGTGTGATCCTTCCCTGCCTCCTCTGCAGACTTTCTTCCTCTGCCCTGAAATGTTGGCTTTCTAGAGTTCTCTTGAACAGGCTTCCTACTTTTGTGACTTCACCCAATACTTTCACAGTTCTCTCTCTCTCTTCAGGGTGTGGACTCTGTACCTACTTTGCCCAAAATGATCTCAGCATCTTCTCCCAAACCTCCCCCTCCCTTTGCATTCCCCAACCCAGGGGGTGCCCTACCGTCCATATAGTCACCCAAGCCTGCACTTGGGACCCATGCTGGACGCCACCGTCTTCCCACCCCATGCCTTTCATGGTCCAAGCCCTCCATCCCCTCCCACTTGGATCCCTGCTCCTTCTCCTGCCTGTTCTCCCAGCTGCTTGGTCTGTTTTTAAAAGACCATCCCTATCGCTATTCTACCTTCCTTCAGGGTGCAGCCTCCTCCAGGAAGTCCTCCCTGACTTCCCACCCCTATGCTCCATCTCTGTTCCTGGCCATCCTCTGGCTTTCCTGGTTTGGGCAGTGGGCTGCAGGCAGTGGGGTCTTTCCTTCATGCTGATTTGGAAAGAAGATGCTTCCCAGAAGCTGGGTCCCACAGTGGTCTTCTAGAAACTCTTGGAGGCCAACATGTGGGATCCAGGTGTCTTCTTCAAGGCATCCTCAGCCTGGTGTTGATCAGTGCTGCCCAGGAAGGAAGTGGGTTGAAGGGCCAGGCGATTGTGAAATCTGGAGCCTGGGAAATCTGCTAGGTCAACAAGTTCTAAAGAGGAAGTGGTGGGGAAAGGAAGGGAATGATGGGTTTGGCTGAGTTGGCGGTGTTCCTACCTCCGCACCCCGCCCCCCTCAAGTCCCCTGTCACGGCCCGACCTGTTGCTCAGATCTGGCTCCCCAAGGCCTGGTGGGTCAGAGACTCCCACCCTGCATCTGTGCCATGTGACCTTCCCAAGCACCCCATCTCCAACCTCCAGGGTGGTATTACTCCAAATTCTTGTTGTCTGATAGGAATATAATGCAAACCACATGCATGATTTTACATTTTTCAGCAGACAAGCAAGAGACAAGCAAAGAGAAATAAAAAGAATCAGGTAAAATGAATTTTGGTGCTATATTTTATTGAACCAAATATATTTCAAGCACTGTCATTTCAATATGTGATTGGTATAAAAAGTTATTGAGAGATTTTGCATTCTTTTTTTTTTTCATGCCAAGTCTTCAAAATCTGGTGTGTATCACAGCATCTTTCATCTCAGATCCAGCTCATTTTTTCCTTCTGGTTCTTATGCAATATATTCTTTTAACTCTCTAATTATAATTTATTAATTATAATAAATCTTTTTTCTTTACCTCTTTGCACTATTTCTGTTTTCACACAGTTGTTTGGTTGTCTTGTTTATTTTCATCTCTGGTTTCAACTTAACATTTTTCTTCCTGTGTCTGCTTATCTTTTTTTTTAAATTTAATTTAATTTATTTTTTTATACATCAGGTTCTCATTAGTTATCCATTTTATACATATTAGTGTATACATGTCAATCCCAATCTCCCAATTCATCCCACCCCCACCCCTGTCACTTTCCCCGCTTGGTGTCCATACGTTTGTTCTCTACGTCTGTGTCTCAATTTCTGCCCTGCAAACCAGTTCATCTGTACCATTTTTCTAGGTTCCACATATACGCGTTAATATACGATATTTGTTTTTCTATTTCTGACTTACTTCACTCTGTATGTTAGTCTCTAGATCCATCCACGTATCTACAAATGACCCAATTTCTTTCCTTTTTATGGATGAGTAGTATTCCATTGTGTATATGTACCACATCTTCTTTATCCATTCATCTGTCGATGGGCATTTAGGTTGCTTCCATGACCTGGCTATTGTAAATAGTGCTGCAATGAACATTGGGGTGCATGTGTCTTTTTGAATTATGGTTTTCTCTGGGTACATGCCCAGTAGTGGGATTGCTGGGTCATATGGCGATTCTATTTTTAGTTTTTTAAAGAACCTCCATACTGTTCTCCATAGTGGCTGTATCAATTTATATTCCCACCAACAGTGCAAGAGGGTTCCCGTTTCTCCACACCTGCTCCAGCATTTGTTGTTCGTAGATTTTCAGATGATGCCCATTCTAACTGGTGTGAGGTGATACCTAATTGTAGTTTGATTTGCATTTCTCTAATAATTAGTGATGTTGAGCAGCTTTTCATGTGCTTCTTGGCCATCTGTATGTCTTCTTTGGAGAAATGTCTATTTAGGTCTTCTGCCCATTTTTGTATTGGGTTGTTTGTTTTTTTAATATTGAGCTGCATGAGCGATCCAGCTCATTCTAAATGCTCAGTAGCCTCATGTGGCCAGTGGCTACCACATTGGACAGCTCAGGGCTAGAATATCTTGATTAACGTTCAGATCATCTACAAAATTGTAACATCTAACAGCTGGAGTTTTATTATACTTCTAACACTCGAAGATTCTGGTGTGACATTCTAGAATCCTGTGATTCAAATAGTCTGTGGCTAATGTTGTAGGATCCCTTGGGTCAAATCACCTATGATTCCAACTTTCTGAAAGTCTGTGATGCCAACAATTCAGCCTTCAGAGTCTTTGAACTAGATCAGGCGTTAGCAAACTCCAGCCTGTGGGCCAAATCCAGCCCACTGCTTGTTTTTGTGAATAAAGTTTTATTGGAACACAGCCATGCCATTCAATCTGTGGCCGCTTTCATTCTAGCAGAGAGATGAATGACCTCTTGACCAGTAAAAACTAAAACATTTACTCCCAGTTCTCTCACCGAAAAAGTTTACTCTTGATCTAGATATTCAAAGATTCTAAGATGGATGGTGATTTTACAGATGCTAATTTGTTGTACTTTGTACTTT